TTCTTTATCAAAAATAAAATAGACTAATATGGGTGAATAGATTAAAAATACTATATTCAAAATCAACGTGAAAAACTGAAGAAAACATTACAATATTGAACATCAAATTTTCTCATAACATATGCTAACAATTTCATGATATTTAAACATTTCTGAGTTGAGAGAGTTTTTTTTTTACAAAAAAGACATGTATGTATTTAACTTTCTCATTGATCATGAACTTTTAATGATGTAAATTTTTACAAATTTTTCTATATAATTACTTCATGAGTTATTATTCCAATTTACTGAAAACTATCTCAAACAAAATGATTTAATATTTATAATACAAATCAATTATAAGTTCTCTCATATAAATATATAACTATCTGTGACTATTGTTCAATAATTATAAAATAAAAATTAATATCGAATCATTGAACAGTAAAAATTCTCAATTGAGTTGATGTATTAAGTGTTTATTTATCTAAATATTTTTCTTATGAATCTAATCAACATAATATTGTTATTCTTCACTATTTAAGTTGGTGTGGGTGTGAGAACAGTTGTTCCTTTTGCGAGAAAAGTATATTCATACTCTTACTAGAAATTGGACTATCCAATTCACGTTTTTTAAAATATATCTTTTTTTTTTCAATAATTCAAACAATTCGTACTAGACATCACATTTTATATTTGAGTCGAAACTTGAATACTATCAAGTTCTTATTCGTTCTGCTGCTTTTCCCAGAATTCAAAAAAAGAAGAGACAATAATATTATTTTATGAATTCTAAATAGATGTTCAAGATTTTGTCAAAAGAATACTTTAGCTAATTAGAAAATGATACATAAATCTTTATAACATTTTTTTTCTTCGATTTATTTAATTATTCATTCTTTTGTTAACAGAATTAAAAAGCACATCAATTAAAATAAAATAGTCTTTTTTTTTAAAATTTTATCATTAATCTAATGAATCTATTTTGTTGTCAACTAATGTTACATCAAGAGTCATTGTTTGAATATTGATTATAACTCGAATTATATAAAAGATAAACAATATGTTTCCCATAGAATAAATAATTATTTTATTTAAAATAATTAAATTTCGATAATTTTTCCTAAGTTTTGATTGAAATGTAACAGTAAATATTGTTCATCATTGTTTTTATTATTAATTTTTGTTAATTCAGATGATTTTTGCTTGTTTTGACAACAAATATATTGAAAAGATTTTTGTCGAAATAATATTGATATTATAAGATGAACATAAAATTTAATTGAATAATTAATTGATGAAAATAATAGAAAACAATGATATATACAATCGTATTCAACAAGATATATCATAATAGAAGAATTAATCAAATAAATCAAATATTTTATTAAAAGATACTGCTAATAGAGAAAAAACATAAGTAAAGTGAAAATAAAAATATTATTATTGAACGTTTATACATACGACAAGCATTTAAACTTAACGTTTGTTAATGTCGATGTTTTTATTGATGTCTATTATTCAACAAAATAATTGATGATATACATACAATTAATAATAAAATAGATACAAATAAAAATGTAGATTATAATGATAATAAATAAAATTGTTGATGATTATATAATGAACTAAGATTACAAACAAATTTTTGTAGATTTATTAGCATAATGTAAATAAAAACAATAAGGAATAACAAGTAAAATAATTACTAAATAAATTAATATAATAACAAAATATTAAACAAGGTCGTGTATAACTATTGAACGATAAAGCCATAGGACAAATAATCATAATACTTCTATCAATAGATATCGATGCTAAATAAATATTCGACATTGATAATAAACAAAAAAGAATGTAATAAAAAATTTCACATAAGAATATTTGTCGAGGATCAATTTTAATACATGACATAAAATACACACCATAAACAAAACATACCTATTCAAATAAATACATTATAGTTATCAAAATTTAAAAAAAAAAATTATATTTAATATAAATATTGATGTTGATGTCGAAATAGTATCGACATTGAGCATTTTTTAGCTAGAAAATTTAGTTCGATGATAGTACACTTATTCCTGTTAACATAAGAACTAGTTAAATATAATATGGATTTTTTTTTTTAAAACCATTAATTTATACTTTAAAAGACGTTTTAGATAAACAGAAAGATGAGAGTGTCTACTAGTTCTAGACAAATCTAGATACAAGACGTTAAACATTTCTGAATCTTCATATCCTGGTAATCATTATTTTCTTTTGTTTTTTTTTTTACAAACAAAGTTTCATAAAATTTTTAACGAATCAATTCGTTTTGAAGAACATGATAATAAATTAAGTGGATCAATTAAATATGAATATTATTTTAAAATAACTAAAGAATAGATAATGCAAGTAATTGGTTATGTTCTAGAACAGTAATATTAACATTGTTATATTTTCAAATTCTATTTTTATTCATTTCTTTATATTTTTCGTTGTTTTCTGATTAATAAAATTGAATATATTTCCAAAAATGAAAACTTTGATGCAGATTAGAATTTCGCTTTTGTTTTTATTTATATGAGACGAATCTCTTATTTTTTTTCTTTTAATGATATTACATTTATAATAGATTAATTTAATAGACTTTTATTTAATGATAAGAAAAATAAATGTAAAACATTAATTATTTTACTAGACATCGAAGAAGATAAAGAAAATTAATCCTTATACCTGAATAAATTTTAGTAATGAATGTCAAAAAATACGATATCTATATGTGAAAGTTCTTAATAAATAACCACTGATATATTCTCAAATATAAATATATAAAATTTATACAAACCTAGAAGAAGAATTAATTCACATATTGAAATAGTAATAAATAAGCATAAATTTGGTTCTTTTCGATTAGATTTATTTAATGAAATAAATATATTAAAAATATCACCTGATATACCAATCAGAAAGCATATGAACATAGATATATTCCAAATAATTTTAGATAGAAAAACATATATATTATAAATTAAATTATTATCACAGATAATTAATACTTATAGAACAAATCTAATGCTAAAAAGTACAAAAATAAATTTATGTATCTGTTATTGTTATCTAAGAGAAAAAATTTCAATTATTAAATCAAAGACAATAAATAAAGTTGTACTGTTCTGATTTTATGTATGATATCAATCAAAAATATATTTATATCAATTGTTTATATACTATAATATTTCGAGAAGAAAATAAGAATTCTTTTTCCTATTCTTGTTGGTAATTAAATATTTATTAAGCTATATCTCTCTTTTCATCTAATATAATAAATATTATTTTATTAATTCATATGAGAATATTCATTAGAAAATATTTCTGTTGTTGACAAATATATTTTCAATGATTGATGATCTAAAGTAGTAATTAAAGCTTATTATATTCTAAGCTAGAATCAGTATTATTTTAAGTTTTTTGTGAATGGTTTATCAAGCAAAGCATGTATAGATTTGTTCACAATATATTTTTTCCTAAGTTTTCTCATAATGTTCAACATATATAGTTTATATATATATATTTGTTGCGATGATCTCAAAATTTGGAAATAGAAAAACTTCATAATTAGATCAATGTTCTTTTTTTTTCTCATCTTCACTTGTGTATTTCTTTTTTTATTAGTGGCAACTAATCGAAAAAGAAAGCTTTTGTAGACTTTCTTTTTTCTTTCAATCTTCAAAACAATCAAAATAGTTGCAGCGATGAAAGTTAACTGCTGATATGTTTCTGTTTAGTATCTGTTATCAGCAATAAATACAGCTGATGATAGATAGAACATCAAAGATAGACAATTAAAATCATCTATAGATCTTATTCCTTTGAAATTGAACAATAATATTTTTGAGTATATTTTGCTTATAAAATGATTTATGATCAACCATAAAAACGATTATTTGATCTTTGTAAAATTTCGATTGTTTTCGATTATCGATATTCACAATTTTTTATTTTTTATTATCTTTTTGATGCATTGGGGAGCACGACAATTATGTGTTAGATTTTTGTGTGAAGATGATTGTATGCAAAATGAATGTGTTTTATGTGCAAATAAATATTTTTGTCAAAAAGCGAAAGATAATGAACGAAAAAAAGTAGACAAAATACTAAAAGTAAACAAGATGAACAAAAGTTTGTTGCATTGTGTTTTGTACATTGCCAATATATTTTATTTTCATGAGTACGTTCTTCAATATAATAAAAACTGTTCTCAATCAGAACTGGCTTCCATTTTTCAGTTATACAAAAATAAAATTGACATGATGTGTTCGTACTTTCAATGTTTTCTATATGATGGTGAATTTTGAATGATTGTTAATGGTTAAAATGTCTTCTTATTATCACTCGTTTAAAATACTTTCAAGGAAAATTTATCATTGTTAGTCTCTTTTTCTTTATTATTATTCAATACAAATAAAATAAAATCGACGTCCATGGACATGATCGTCTGTTCTGATAATTGTCTTATACACAACAGTCATAGACCCGATGCATTATACAAAAAAAAGAAAAAGGAGTAACTCATATTGGTTTTACTTTATAATAAATGCGAAAATCTCGGATTTATATCCGAGAGTATGTGTACTTCAAAAAGTGA